AAAAAAAAAAAAATTCGAGCTGGATATAAAGCCTACACTTTCCTTTTAAATTTTACAGTATACATTGAATATGTCAATAGATGTAAAACTGTGTATAAGCAAACCCTTAATGATGTGATTCTCATATTTTGTAGAAGTCAAGCGGCAGAGAGACTCCGTGAGCATAAAGAAGGAAAAACCTTCAGCCAGATTCCAGATCATATTGTGGCCAAGAAAACTCCTAGACCCAAACCAAGTGGAAGCCATGTGGCTGGAGGAGTGGCCATTGGTCATTCATCATTGAAGAGGTCCAGACCCAGACCGTTTGAGTATCAGGAATACAGAGACCAACCCTATGAATGCCAAGTGTGTGATAAGGCCTTTAGGCTGCCCAGTTACCTTCGAAAACATGAAAGGATACACACTAGAGAGAAACCCTACCAACATGAGCAGCGTGGGAGAAAGCTCACTCGTCCCCATCAGGCTGAAAGACACACAGGTGGCCAAGGGTCTCCTTATCCCAGTTTCCTTCGAAATCATAAAGCAAGTCACATGAGAGAGGAAATGTATGAACCCAAGCAATGGGGGAAAAACTTACTGAATTCCAGTTCCCTTCAAATACATAAAAGGATCCGCAGTGGAGAGAAGCCCTATAAATGTAAGCTATGTGATAAGACCTTCCGACATCCCAGTCACCTTCGAATACATGAACGAACTCACACTGGAGAGAAACCCTATGAGTGTAAGAAGTGTGGCAGAATGTTCACTTATTCCCACTCAGTTCAAAGGCACATGGCAACTCACAGTGGAGAGTGGAATTACAAATGCAAGGTGTGCGATCAAGGTTTTTTTTATCCTAGTTCTCTTCGAATCCATGAACTCACTCACAATGGAGAGCAACCTTATGAATGTAAAGAGTGTGGTAAAACCTTTAAATACGCTTCTTCCTTTCGAAACCATGAAACCACTCACACAGGGAAGAAGCCTTATAAATGTGAGCAGTGTGGGAAAGGCTTCAGTTGTCTTACTTACTTTCGAAGTCACATGAGAAACCATGGTAAGCAGAAGAAGCCTTATGACTGTCAGGAATGTGGGAAAACATTTGTCTGTTTCCACTACTTTCGAAAACACATGCTCTTACACAGAACAGTGGAGATGGACGGACTTAACAAATGTAAGCAATGTGGGCTAGCCTTCAGGCGTTCCAGTGCCTTGTATAAACATGAAAGGACTCATAGTGGAGAATAGCCTTATGAGTGTGACATGCTTATGTATTCAGTCATTTCGGTTAGAAGTACATGAAAAAAATAAATATGGTACTACCCAAGCATTAAAGACTTTTACTGGAACAAATTCTGTATATAGAATGTGGGACATTTTTTT